ACGGAACGCGGAAATGGCTACATGGCGTAATAAAAGCATGCTTGTCACAAGCCACATGGCCACTTGATGCCTCACACACCCTTTTCAATAGTCATCGCCATCCTTTTCCCTGTTCCTGCCCTGCCTCTTCCCCTTTGCTTTACCTGGCTAACGCGTGCCTTCATCCCAAAAGGACCCATACGCATGAAGATGGATGTGGGTAGCCCGTCCACTGTCAAATAGGGCTCATCAGAGACAGACCAGCCTGGAGGCCAAAAATGGAGAGAGCGCGGACGGTCAAGGGAAAGAAGCGTAATTAAGGTGGCAGGCGTGGGCACTCCAGTTCGCATACGCTCACGACATGTCCGGATGAATGCATTGATTTCGCAAGCAATCCACACATTTTTACAGGAAAGTTTGAGGGAAGTATCGAGATGCTTTGAGGTAAGAAGGGAGGGACTGAGAACAAGAGCGAATGCCACTGACAAATATTTACCTCTGATTAAAAGAGACCATGCCGCCAAGACCACTGACCCCGCGTACAAAAATGTGCCTGTGGAACAAAAGGAAACGCAGTCGCAAAGACACATAGAGAGTGAATAACCAGGGATGTGTGACAACACATGACGAGAGTGTCTCGGTCGCCTCGTGCCTCCTCCATTTTCCTGCGACACAGCCACCCACTCGGACAACAACTTCCCGACAAAACGTACCAAAGGTGCTGCAGATACGCATTATTACCCTTTATGTACGGTTTCCTGGTGGTGAAAGGAGGGTGCAAAGGTTATGGAAGCACAACGAATCGTGAGCAAGTACTGTTCAAGAACAGCGAGGGACGTCCGAAGGGCAAAAGTCGGCTATGGCACCTACTTCCCGGCCTTAATAACGTCCCAACACCACCACAACACTCGCGTCCCCCACTTTGTACATGTCAGAGAGCTGTTTTTGTTGTGCAGGGTAGAAGCACGGTGTTTTTTCGCGGGGAGAGAAGTGACTGAGGAGGAAATTTATCGAGGGAGGGAAAGGAAGGATTTGTTTCCTCGGGAGGACGACAGCATCGGAGGTTCATTTTTTCGCTTTTTTGGTCGCTTTTATTTTACTTGTTTATTCCCTTCTTTCCTTTTTTTTTCGTAAGATATAACGAGAGATTAAAATTATCGTTTTTAATAC